GTCTGCGCCTGGCAGCGCTCCGGGGTTCACTCCTCAGAGACTTCGGCGGTAAAGCCGGAGTTCCGAACAATTCGCGTCTCTTACGGAGCCCGAAATCTCATTGCCTGCCACTGGAACGTACGCTGAGTCAGATGAGCCCTGTCCACGCCCTCGGACTGAATTTATAAAATCCACTCCGACGGATTTCTGAACAAGACGTTCTCGGAAGAGTCCGTATCGCGTTCAGTGCAGCCAACAAGTCAGCGGTTTAGAGTATCCTTCCAGTGTTGTAGCACAGATTACGGCGAAGCAGAAATTATTGTATCAAAATACAAGTTCGGGCTAATGCGACCTCGCGAAGCTTCAGACTGTTAACATAAAACGAATGTTTCTTACAGAATTTGCGAACTTTAAACGAGGCACTGCCTTTACAAAGCGGCGAATTTTTGAGCAGAGTAATTTAGCGCCGCGTAGTCGGGCACGAGACTTCAGGCTCACTATTGCCATCTCGGTCTTACCGACTGTCCGAAATTAAACAGCAGACGTCTTACAGAATTCCTTTTACTGCTTCGAGATAGCTTCCGGTTAAGTTGCCAGAACTAACATTGACGTAATGAGACATGTGTTGCATTAATTATGCGCACCTGTAACGTTACGAAACGCTGTTTCCTCTGGACGCGGATTAAAAAAAGATAAAAAAAGAACAAAGCCTCGAATCGCCCTGCTTTCACGGGACACAATAGCCACCGACCAACAACTCATCAGCGCCAATCAGAGCGCGTATCTCCGCGAGTAACAGGTCACTTGAACCAAATGGCAAATCTGCACGAGTGACGTGTTCACAACAAACGCCACGGTGAAGGTCTCATATCGCGTCCACCCACTGTCAGGGTGAAATCGCCGTTGATTGATTGGTCGATCGGCTCTGTGACGCACAGGGTTCGAACCTCGGGGCACAAAACCCGCTGAGCATCGTCGAACGTAATGAAACCCGGCTCTTCAACCCCCCCCCACCCCCCGGAGAACAAAGCACCACCCGCAGCAGGCACACAAGCGCGCCGACGTGGGAGGATAATATTAAAATGTTTCTCCAAGACATGGTGTGGTATGGGCCCGTGAGAAATCGACACGAGACGCGGTGTTTCGGAAAGCTCAGCTGCTCCGTGGGGTCTGTTAGATACTCAGTGTAACAGAACGCGTCGCCACTGGCAGTGGGGCAGTTCCCCGCGAAATGGCGAGGCGGTGGGAGGCCGCAAATAGGCCGTAAAGCGTAAAGGGATTTCCGTTTCGAACATTAATTAATATTTAGAGGTAACGAGGAGCCCTCGATGCGACGTTGCAGCAGCGATTAAGCGGGGGAGAGGAAGGGCGAAGACAGCACGGACTGAGGCGAAGGATGGAGCTGCCAGCACGGGGCAAACATTTATAATGTTCATTACAGTCAGCACAGAAGCCACAACCTGTTTTAATCAGATCCGCTTACTTAAAAGTGTCCTAGGCCTGAGAAGATGACGCCAATCAAATTTCGGCACGCGCTTATTTATTTTTATTTCTTCATTAAATCGATATGGAGTTCCGCGACACGTGACGTCAGAAACTGTCAGTACGAAGTTGCGCTCAGCCAGCGGAATGCGTGAGACCGACCGCTTCGAAGTTGCGAAGCGATTACGTATTTTCAACGCGGTATTAAGCCTTGTAACTCTGCAGAAAATATTTTTATTATGACGAAAACGTACAGACGTTAAAATTCTGTGGGCCGATCTCGGGCTGACGTTCGCTCAGCTGGGCAGCACATCCCTTCCCACTGTGGTACCGAAACGTCCATTACCGCATCCGAATCCTTGCACCCAACATTCATGTTTTCGTCTCGTCGCCTCAGGTTTCATGAATCTCGCATCTATCCCATGCGTGCTACATGGACGCCAATCACAGCTTCCTTCGTTTGGTCCTGACAGTGCACGCATCCTAAATCCTCTCTTGGGTCGAAATGTTCCCCTCAGCAGTTTGCTTAATCCACGTTCTTCCCTCAGAGCTAGGAGACCGAGATTCAAACCCATACAAAACAGCGCTAGAGCTGAAGACACTCTCGGCTGATGTTACAAGACGAACAATAAATCTCTGTCAGCGTTGCCGGGAGAAGGAAGTAGCTGTCGGACCGCGGCAGGTTAATGAAGCCCCCTCGCGCTGTGACGCGCCCAGCCCCCCGGAAAGCAGAAGAGAATCAGCGGACGAGGACCCACGTCCACCTGCTCCTACGCGTAAGACAGTGTGGCACCTAAACGAAAAATGGGGAAGGAAGTGGTCGTGGCTTGTGTCAAGATTAATACCCTGACGACGCCACGAAAATCCCTCAGTCAAAGTTCGAACCGGACACCCTCCGAAATACGCAGCAGGCAAAGGACCGGTTCAACACCTGGAAATACCAGTTGACGGCTAACAGTAACTGGACACGACCCACCAAACGAATAAGATTCACCATCTCTTTCTCGGTCTTGTTACTGGCCGCTTTCCAAGACGCAACCTGGCGGACGACAACTGAATTTCGTGCGTTGTGTCTGCCGAACGCAGGAACATCAGGAGATTCGAACCCTGGGCCTCCCGAATACGAAGCAGGAGCTCGCAACATGGTTGCTGGGGGTCCGCGAACCACTAGTTGCGTTTCCGTTGAAATAGAACGGCGGACATCCCATCAGCGGGGACGGCACACGGGCCGCCTGTTCCCACGTTCCGTCTCCCCGTCGAAAGAATTTAATTTTGTTCCGTATTTGTCCGCCACACACGAGCGATCTCCCCAAAATCGAAGTTCGTCTCTCCCTTGGCGAGTCAGGGACGGAATCGCCTTCCGCCCAGGGAGCAAACGTCTGGCTTCTTCCGAATGCTCGGAGGCCGAGGGATGAACCGGCCCTTAAGTAGCCCCCGACCACTTCCCTCTACATCACTCACGGTCACGTGATTCACTGGTCTGTTTCGTCCCTCACTTTTTGAACACCCTGTTCTTTCTCTGTTACGTCACTTTCTCCACTCCATGCCCGTTAATCAGCAGCAGCTTGTTTCGCACTGGCGTATCAGGTACCAACGCTAATTTGACAGCAGCTGAAACAATTGACGAACAGCTCCGTGTGACCTCACGCACTCTAACGCACTTCGCCCTGAAGATGGAGGGCACACGTACCTTCGAAACGTCGCCAACACGGCGTCATGCCCCAGAAGACAGCGATCGATATCTTCATCGTCCTCAGAACCTCAAATATTCCGACCAAGAAAACGTACCTGTGTCACTTTTGCATTAACAAGAGTATAGGCGCAGAACGCAACACTTCCGACACCAGTGCAGCACGGGTTGGCATATCTCGAGTCAGACGCCATTAGCACTGAGATTGAAACAAATGTTCCTGCCTGTCGCTGCCGACGCGTGAGACAACTACGAGGGATTAATCGCGTGCCTTGGCTCACCAGAGGAACGCGAACAGAGTGACTCCGGGGCTTCTGATTGCAAGACCCGGTAAATGGCGAATACGTAGCGATCGGATGGGAGACTTCATTAAGAGCAAGTTACGGTATCCACCTACGTCAGATGGGTAGTGTATGCAGCACAAACGAACACTACAAGAAGCGCCTGAAGGGAAGAGACCACTTGCCACAGATGGGAGAATAATATTAAAACGGTGGTGTAGACGTCGTCTGGTGGATTCAGTGGGCCAACGCTGGCGTCTCCTTATGCATGCAGATTTTTCCCACCCTTTTAGGTCAAAGCAATTTCCTGACCTAACCCCCCCGTTCGCCTGCAAACCCCACAACAACAACTGGTGCTACGTAAGATTCTCAAGACTAATCTGAAATATGCGCGAGCCGTTGTCGCCCGAATTGTGTTCATGACTGTACTTCGAGCTTCACGGGATCACGTGCACACGTAAAAACACATCGCCGGAGGCCGCCGAATAATTAACTTATTTGCTGGGAACAGAAGCGAATAATATTATAAATATAAAATAATTGTCCATCTCAATTCGACTTTTACGAATTAGATTTTCGCTCTAATCGATTTTGAGTCAACGGGAACGGCAATTCAATTTCGCACGTGGGTGTGGGCGTCTGTCCCGAACAGCCGCAACCACGGGACCGCGACCCAACAGTGGATCTCCGAACAGAATGCCTTCGTGGCGTTTCTCATGTAAGCGGCGGGCCAGACGCGCGGTGTCACGATATACTGGACAGCTCTATGACCGAATGGTAAGTATGTATACCAACCACAGCGTCAATTTCCTACGAAACTGAGTCCACGCAGCGCCGAATGGTATATGACGTGACTGAGGAAAACCAAGCAATTTCTTAGTGTCCTTAACATTCGGCGATGATTAAAAATCTATACATAAATACGCATCCCGGGGTTTGTTTTGAAGGTGCGATCCGAAAAGAATTTACAGCAACAACAAAAAATCACATGATTCTGTTTCGACGCAACCCTCAACCACTACGACCCCCCGTAACATTATTTTCATGTTATCCCACCATCTGCTCTTTGGTCTTCCAAGTGGACATCTTCACAGACGTTTCGCCATTAAATTAAGTATGAACCCCCCCCGTGACATGCAGTTATTTGCATCGGGCGTCCTGTGAACCGGAGGGCATTCGTCAATGTCTGCCTGTTTACTCTGCAATATTTCGAATTACTTCCTAGAGCCACGCAGACGTGTTTTTCCTGCTTCCGGTTTACCCAGACTCCTTTCCGGAAGGAAACTTCCACGTTGATGCACTTCAGCTCCTGCGCCTTGGCGCTTCATTTGTTCAAAATTCTTGACGTCATTAAAAACAAATGCTCGCGCCCTAATTTTCCTCCGTGAAATGAAGAGAAAAATGATGGAATATTTATTTTTGTTCCGGAGCAGATTCACGATTCTCCATTCGTAACTCGATCATGCACAGGAATCAGGTTGCCCCATAAGTTGAGTGGCCCGGGAATTTCGTGACCTGCCCGCAGTTGAGAATTCGGCTCTAGTGACGGTAAAATCACACCGACTTGTGTGAAAATGACAACATTTCGAGATTTTCCACGACGAATAAAGTGAGATATGGAAGCTACACCGCGGGTTTCGAGTTAAATGCGTAAAAAACACGGCAACATCAGAGCGGCCGGTCGAGAATTCTACTGGAGGAAGCAGGAAGATGCTCTTCTATTTACAAATCACCAACAACTCCAGGAAATCATTTCGTGGGCGCAAAAAGTGTGAATGTCTCTCACGAAATGCACGCGAGAGAGCAGGAACAAGGCAGCGGGCGTCGGCCCGTCACTTGCAAGGCGAACATCGCAAAGCCAACGACCTGGCGCATCGCTTCGGCGACCACCTGTGGTCCTGTGGGATAGTTCAAGCGGTCATTTCGAGGGCAATGCCAGAAAACACTACGAGCGACGGGCGCCGAGAGGTGGACGAGTCGACGCTGACAAAGCCGACGTCGTCTGAAATGACGCTCTTGACGAAAACATGGCCGCGGAATGGGCGCCAGCGAGCACTTCCCAGGGCGACAACAGCGATAAACAAGGTCATAACGCGGGAGGTTAAGCCAAGATTTGTAGCCGCATAAAGAAACCTCTATGAAAATATTGTTTGTTAAGGGAAATGCGTTTTGTCGTCGCATAAATCACTCTGCCCCGAAGATATACGTGCGGTATTTGACCGAGTTCAGTTGTCTTTCGGACTCTGAGCTGCCACAGAACGCGTCCTCCGACTGCAAAGTTTCGCATGTGCGACGCAAACATCCAGAACTGATATGAGATTCCTGTCACGCCTTCTCCCCTATTGCTACTTCGTAATGCGTAAGGTAATGATGACACAAGGCAGGAAGGTGAGGGTGCCATAATGGAACAACTTGCATCGTCACAAAATAATCATTATTCTGAAGATGGAGGCAGCATGGACCTCTCAAAAGCCAGTCACCATTTACCAGACTGTACTGCAACTTCCTTACATCCAAACAAGCACAGAGTCACCCTGAAGATAGCAGATGATATGTTTGCAGAAACATCGGGCGATGTTCAAAATTCGACGCGGCTCAACACATTCAAAGGCAAATTCCTAATTTGCACTCGCAACAGAACGAGAGGCCCACTTCAAGTTCCTCACGGCCTTTGGCGCAGGAAAACACCAGCTGTAAGGGAGGAGAGGGAAAGTTTTTAAGAAGTCAAAGTATTTATGGGAATTTTGAGGATATATCGCAATGAATGCATTTATTCAGAAACTTTCAGGATGGAGAATTCAAAAACAAATTTGGAAGGAAACAAAACGTTCGCAAATATACGTCAACGCAGTGAATGAGGCAGCCTCCGGTGGTTTCGAGACTTACGTAAAATTTTAGTTCAAAAGTTTCGAAGTGAATTATGTCGACAAAGAAATTTCACGAAGATTCCGGTGAGATTTGCTCCGGATAAAACTGAGAAATTACTCCTCCATTTGGTTCTTCCCGGAGTCTCAGGAACTCAGGAGCTTCCTGCTTCGTCTCTGCACTCCGTCACTGGGCGGGTCGAAGACGGAGGGCACCGAGGGGTAGACAAACTGGTACTGCTGCTGCTGATAGTGAGGCAGCTGTCCCGCGTCGGGCAGAGCAGGTCCCGCAGACTGGAAGTCCTGAAAACAGCAGCGTTGTTGTTCACGAAACACTCGCATTGCAAGGGCTCACGGGACTCCAGGGTGCTACAGACCTGCAGTGGGTGGTAGCTGCGATGGACGTGGGGGTAGTACGCGGGGTGCGGTGGATGGTACACGTCGAACCAGGCGCTCGTCACTTTCTTCATGGCCTGTGCTGAGGCCAGGGCCAGCGCCATTTTGCTAAGCAGCAGGGCCTTTCCCGAGATGACGGCCATGAACTGGAAACCGAGGGGAACCAGAATCACCAGCATCTTCATGAAGGCAAACATCATCAGCGGGAAGAGATGCCTGTAGTGATGACGAACACGGCCTGCACAGACGGCGAATTTCACTAGTCGTAATAATAAACGTTCCTATTGTTTTTTAAATTAATCACTGAAGCGTAAAAGTTTCAACAAAAATCTTGATTTAATTATTTGGCTGTACAAGAACTCTAAAAAAAACAGCTGAGACTCACTTTCGAAAAAAAAAATAGTTAAAGGTGTACTTATATTTATTTATTTATTTTAGTAACCCACAGAATTACTTCGAAAAACCTACTCTTTGAAAAATACTGGATTTTAACAAACTTCGTGCACATTTCTCTGATTTGTCTCGATACGAATTTCAATTTGGAGCCATTCTAATGCCCCTACTGCAGGTCCAGAGATGTAACAAATTTTCTCTGCGTCTCTCTCTCTCTCTCTCACCTTCCACGTCATCGAGGCGCAGCCTGATAACGTGGCTCCTGAAGAGTTCTGCAACTCGGTCCACCACCTGCCACCTCCACTCCTCTTCACCAGAAACTGCCCTGTAAGGGACGCACAATGTAATTACAGCAACAAATTATGAACTTCGAGAAACTCCACTTTCCTAATCGCGTTAACCAAATAACTGCACTAAGCCAATATTCGCTCTTACGACCATGAAATCGTCTGCTTCCTACGGAACACCAAGCTTCGGCAGGACCTATCGCGTTCACCACGGCCTCCCACGTGGTCCGACACCCCAGAGCCCCAAACAATTCCGACGTAACTGGAGCCGTCAGCAAAGTTCAAAGGTCACAAACTCTGGCAAATGCTCGGA